AGGGCACAGATAGCCCATTGTGTAGCTTTGTGCTTAATTACAAACAAACAATACTAAATGCCATATTTAATGAAACTAACATAATTAATATGCCTATCAGTTTGTTTTGTTTTTACTGCAAAACTACACAATCTACTCTCTGTCCATCGCGGGGAATCGAACACTGGATTTTAGTGTTGTAAGTTCGTGAACTTACCGCTGACCCCGTATGGGGCACCCGTTTATTAACACTAATCAAGCGAAGTGGGAGATTCATCACAAGGTATTTTTAAGTCCAAGGAGTTAGGCTTTAAAGGATACATTATCGTGATTTTAACTACGACGTAGATCACGATTAAGAATACAAAATTTGACGACATGATAAATACTCCAGAGCAGTGTTTCCCAAAGTGGGAGCCGCGGCCACCCCTAAGGGCCGTGAAGCTTTATCTGGGGGCCCGCCAAAAAATGGGCCGAAAACAAAGATGGTGAATTAATTTTAATTCTAAATAAACAATAAGCCGGTAAAAATTATGTTGAATTAATTAAATGATATAATATGTCGAAAAGAGATGTTATTGTTTTTACTACGGCACTGTTTTTCATTCAACATGCTAATGTTATAGGTTGGGGGGCCTCAAACCTTATTTATTCACATCAAGAAACCACTGCTCTAGAAGTCTATTTTCATTGAGATGGGAATAGCTTTTACAAACTAATCACATCCCAAAATTAAAAACATTATTTCAAAATTACATAAAGTTAAAATATTCGAATAAGAAAAGAGAAACGGATGATAATTATTAAGAGTAAAATATGTAAATGTGACACAGGATTCACGGAATCAAAGAAATACTGGGTAGCAAAATTAGAGTGAGTAAATACATATATATTTTAAAGTATACATGAAATATAGTGATGTTAGAGTAAGAAACCAAACTTAACTTAGATTTCTGCTTACATATATTTCACAAAACATGCATTTTGGCACCAAAAATAGTTTTAGTAGAACGAAAATAGTGTTCCACGTATGTTGTATGAGGCCTATTCTGACGGTTTATTTATTTGTTTGTAGAATTTTGCACAAATCTACACAAGGGGCTTTCTGCAGTAGCCCCACCCCCCTAATTTTGAAGTGATAGACTAGAAGGAAGGCAGCTACTCAGTACCACTTTTCGCCAACTAGTGGGCTACTCTCGTTAGACCGAATAGTGGGATATGACTGTCACACCTATAAGACACTCATTTCCCCAAAGCATGGAGTGTGATTATTATTTTTTTTTGTAACTGGACTTTCAGATCTGTAGGCCAGCACGATGAGGTGTGTTTGGCCCAAGCTGACGAAACATGACCTGTCTTTCAATATTTGTTGTGGTATTACATCACAATAAAAATGGTAATAATTATAATATTGGTCCTATTTACTGTTCATACTGGTAACCCGTATAGGAGCAATAAAGTAAGAAATGTGATTATTATAGTCACATCTTTTCTTATTCTATACACTGTTCATATTGGTAACCCGTATAGGAGCAGTAAAGTAAGAAATGTGATAATTATAGTCACATCTTTTCTTATTCTATACACTGTTCATATTGGTAACCCGTATAGGAGCAGTAAAGTAAGAAATGTGATAATTATAGTCACATCTTTTCTGATCCTATACACTGTTCATATTGGTAACCCGTATAGGAGCAGTAAAGTAAGAAATGTGATAATTATAGTCACATCTTTTCTTATTCTATACACTGTTCATATTGGTAACCCGTATAGGAGCAGTAAAGTAAGAAATGTGATAATTATAGTCACATCTTTTCTTATTCTATACACTGTTCATATTGGTAACCCGTATAGGAGCAGTAAAGTAAGAAATGTGATAATTATAGTCACATCTTTTCTTATTCTATACACTGTTCATATTGGTAACCCCTATAGGAGCAGTAAGTAAGAAATGTGATACATATAATTACATTTTTCGTCTGCTCGACAACTGTTACCCATTATGTAGCTGGGTAGGATGAAGCAGTTTGGGTAAATTGTTTTGCTCAAAGTTACAACAGCATGTCGTGAATAAACCGTGAAGGCCCGTCATGGCCGGGTGGTTGGGGCGCTCGACTCGCAATCTGAGGGTCGCGGGTTCGAATCCCCGTCACACCAAACATGCTCGCCCTTTCAGCCATGGGGGCGT